TGTTATTAAGATGTGAGTTTGCCTCAAGAAATAGGAGTGATTATTTGCTCTACATGGCGTGTTATCGTACCGAATACTCAGTAAGTGCCCAAATACTAAAAAAAAAAAGTTTCATGTACGAATTAAACCTACGACCTCAAGCCGTTGTTTCACTAGCTCGACTAAACGGAGGGAGGAAGCACCGCGACCCCTAAGCCATAAATGCGATGAACCTTTGTACCACAAGTACCAGTCAGTCGACTACAAGACTAACTAGCAATATATCTTATGTTGTTATTAAATATTCAAAATAATTATTATGAATGAATATTATTTTAAGTCCGTTTTATTTTAAAAAATCATGTTAAAAAATAGATTATAAAAATATTCAAATTATATATATAACAAAAATGGTTCGGGTGGGAATCGAACCCACAATCTCCATGTTATCTGTACTCATTCGTTGATTGATGCGACTGTAAAATAGATGCAGGGGGTGGAGTGCGACGGGTGCGCATGCACCACCCCCCTACAAATTATCAAAGGTCCACATTTTCGAGGGTACAAAAATAAAAAATCACCACTCCCCCACCCCTAATTTTCAAAATTATTTTTAAAAAGAAAAGAAATTTATATCAAAATTTAAGTCTGAGAGTGCCATCTCCGGCCATCTAGAGGTGCCATAATCATGAATTTTCTTACGTCAGGCCCAATTGTGGGGCTGTGGTGTTATCAACTCTTAATCAATGCCGTAGCCAAGATTTTCAATCACTGCGGGACAATATCAGGGTGGATTTACACGTAAATTCAAATAGTGGACCCAGTTTCTTAAAAGGTGACCCATTTTACGCAAAAATATACAAAATCTGGACCCATTTTCTTAAAATTTTACCCATTTTAGGTTATTAATAGAAATCTGTAGCCATTTTATATAAAGTGGGCTCATTGTATGCATGAAATTGCATAATTTGGACCAATTTTTAAAATGTGGACCCATTGAAAAAATTGTGTAGGACTGTCCCGGATCCCAACAACTGGCTACTGCATTGCTCTCAATCTGTAAAATCCTTCGCTCCCCACCCCCTTCCTCTCTATATCAAATTCCTAAATCCGCCACTGACAGTGGTATTTCCTCCATCTATGAAGTCCCTCCCTGGCCTCTCATGAAATGCGTAGACCCACCACTAAAACCATGTGCCTCTTCAGAAATCGATTAAATACGACCACAAATTATCATAAATGCCTGCGCTCCACCACCTCGATCCCAGCAGCAGGGGTTCCCCAAGCACCACCCCTACCCCCATCTCCGGCCACATAGAGGTGCCATAATCATAAATGTTCTTACCTCAGGCTCAACTATGGTGGGGCTGAGGTGTCACGGACTCTCAAACTGTAAAATTCCTTCCCTTGCCCCACTATATCAAATTAATAAATCCGCCTCTGACAGTAGGGGATTCAAGAAGCCCAACTGAATCTAGTTCCCCCTCAATTTTTAAAAATAACAAATTAAAAAAAATTTAAAAAATTGGGAAAAGAGAAAATGATATTCAAATTGTATGGGAGTGCAATTTCTGGCCATTTTAAAGGTGCCATGGTCATAAATCGTCTTCTCCTCAGCCTCAACCATGGTGGGGCTGAGGTGGTATTTCCTCCATCTGTGAAAGTCCCACCCTGGCCCCTCTTCAAATTTCTAGATCCGCCACTGAAAACCGTAAATGCATATTCAGAAATCGATTAACTACGACCATTCCGCCCCCTCGTTCCCAGCAGGATCCCCTCCCCTATGTGGCCCCCTCAAATTTTGGTCCAATCTCTACAAATTCGCACCCACCCAATAAAAATCCTGCGTACGGGCCTGCAGGCTGAGGAGGGACCAGGGCGCCGACAAGGGATAAAAGATAGAACAATAGAATGTTTTCCCAGCCGGGATTCTGAACTTCCGCTGTCTATGCGGACGCCCGGAAGCTCCGACGAAGTCGCATAAATTATAAGCATGTAAGTATGAAAGCAAATAAAGGGAAAAGGGGAAAAAAGATATGGAGAAAAGAGTAAAAGGTGAGTAAGGTAATACGACTAAGGAAATAAAAATCTTAATAAAAAAAAAAGTAAATAAAATTCCGTATTTTCAAATTATTTATTAACATTATATGTTTGTTTTTTGTTGTTATTCATTATTGTTACTCTCATTATTTGTTACTCATTCTATGTATCTGACGTAGAATATACAGCATCACATGATTACACTTTTTGGAAAAAAAAAATATATATATATATATATGTATGTATGTGTGTGTATGTGTATGTATGTATATATACTATATATATGTAATGTACGGTACAAACAATAAAAGAAAATATAATCAAATTTATTGAGTAAATAGTACGGTACGGTACAAACAACTAAAGAAAATAGAATCAAATCATTGAGTAATGGTAAACAAAATGAATTCTGTCTGGTTATATGAACAAATGTGCTCAATATCTAATCGTAGTCATAGTGGTAAACCTATACATTTTTATATCAAAATGTGATTCTGGCAACCATCAAATACAGGTTTAAATGAATCTGTGAAATGTACAAACAGAAAAAAATATATTTGAAGTGTTTTGGAATTAAGCATGTGAAGTTATTTAATAAGCCAGTTGTATATTTGTGTGTTTATTTATTTTTGTTTGGGTGTTTGCTCATGTATTTGTTTATGTATATGTATGTATATGTAGGTTTTTGTGTGTGTATGTATATATGTATATGTGTATATATATATATATACATATATACATATATATGTATATGTGTATATGTATGTATATATATATATATATATATATATCTGTCTCTTATACCCATCTAGATGTGTTTAAAAGTTTAAAATATGTTTAGGCCTAATGTAAATTGCAAAGTAAGCTACTTTATATATTAACAAGCATTATTTTGTCAAGGAAAGTCGAGTATCTGAACAAAGATCTTGTTTTTTATATACATCACTTCTACTCAATTTTAACGACAATCAAGGGGCTCGGGGTATGATAGTGTCGGGGGCCCATGCATTTTAGTTGTTGATTACGAGGAGCCCCTCACTTTGGAATATCAAACAATATCGTAACCTGTTATACAATAATTTAATTCGAATTCTCGGTAAATTCTAGTAGCCATTTACTTAATTATTTTTTAGTATTTTTAAATTGAAAAAATACAGTTCTTGCCAGCTGTGTATTTTACGTTGGGATTTGATATTATATCTTATATAAAAAGTTGCCATGTGAGTCCACTTATAGACATTAGGGAGTTAAAGAAAGTGTATTACAAGTTTTAAATATTGGGTGTTTCAGGGAACAGTGAAATTTAATCATCAAATCATTAAATAATTTCACTGTTCCCTGGGTGTTTCCTTTCATTACAGTAGCTAGTAGCTTTCTTCTTATTTTAAGACTTGATATTGTTTGCTAAGTTACCGGTATTCTATATTCTTAATGAGAAGATACTTATTCATGTATATATTTAATTTCTTATTTGAACTTAATTATATTGGTTTTTGCAATAATTTGCATATACGTCGATGATATCCATTATGATATATTCTTGTTTGATCGTCTCGAGTGGAAGTCTTAACACTAAAGACAAAGGTCTACTTAAAAAAAAAAAAATTACACAATAGAGCGAGTAAGATTACAACATCAAATTTATGTGATACTATAGTATAAACATAATAATGCTGTTTTGAGCATGGTCACACGTAGGCCTATTCTATCCCCTATTTCTCGAATATAATTTCCTTCCCTCATCACTTCGCATTATGTCGCATTACACCCGAACCCAGGGATCCAGAGATTCCTTTGGGGGGGGGGGATAGCCGATCGAGACACAATACTACCCGGGGGAGGGAGGGGGTGGTGCATGCCCCCGCGAAATTTTGTTTTCTAGACGCCCGAAAATATCCTCTGAGGCGTTTGGGGCGATTATTCATTTCTTTTTCTTTCTTTCTGTTTTTTTTTTTTTTCTTTTTGACTTTCCAAAAGGGGAGAACCTCCCCCTCTAGATCTGCCCCTGGCACCAGCCGATATAATAAATAATTAATTCCAACATCTATTAAATTGTTTAATAATCAGGTCTCACAATCCGTTTATTTATTATTTCTTCATTTTAGAATGAATGAATTATTATTCCACTATTTACATTGTAATTTTTTTATGTTAATTTTTTTGCTGTATTAGTCTTTTCTATTTTCAATAATATTTCTATTAAAGATGATAATTATAATAAAAATGATTTTAAATATTGTATATAAGATTTTTAATGTATTTAACTGATATTTAATAGGCTTATGTAAGGTATTTTTAATAATGTTATTAGTTTGAATTTTGTATATAAAATCTAAAGTTTCATAAATGTCTAATTATAAACTTATATGTATATTTTTTCCTTAATGATGTTTTTGTGTTGTCTTGATGTTTTATTTTTTTTCCTTTAAAATATTTGTACTGTCCAAAAAAAATTTCTAATGTATTTTATTGTATATAGGACAATAAATGCTTTGGATTGCAGCGAATTTATTATCATATTTTAGTTATATTAATTCTACATAGTAATGTTTGTATGCTTTATATTTTATATTCTGATTCTGATTTAAATTTGTAGCTATAATTTTCATTGTTACATGTTTAGGGTCCCAAGTGATCAGATTCTGCTGGATGGTTCACCTTCATTAAATATGGTTAAAATAAATAAATAATGTATTGAATACAATTTCCATGATAATTGTACTTGGACTACTTTAATTTTATTGAAGTGTTTACATATCTACATTTAATGATAAAATAGTGAAAAAGAGTACAGTGACTGATGACAAATAGTAGGCCTTATATGTTACTACAGAGAAAACCATTTTATAATCCCACGATAGTAACGCCCATGTAACGACAATTCAAGCAAAGAACGTTTTATGTAATATTCTGAAGTTTGGATATCTCATGATGCATTGTGGGAAAAAATAGATATGACGTTTAGAATCTCGTGACCTCCCCTTTTCTTTCGTCCGCTATGCCTTTGCAATGCGATAATCTGTCGTGTGGGAAAAGATAAAGTGACGATTCTACAAATCAACATATTACTGTATAAATTCTTGACAATTGAGTTTATTATTGAAAGTATAGGTATTGTACACACTCCTTTATATTTCCAATTGTTCATCCTTACTTATAAGTAGATAAGAATTTGTTTGAATATAGGGAATCAGTGTTATTTGACAAAGAAAGCTAGGCCTACGTTAGGCCTAAAAATATTCATCAGCTGTATGGAAAAAGAATGACACGGCACGGGAGTAGTCTCTGCTGTGTGTTTGTCGTATGTGAAGTTTCTAACTTGAAGATTTGGCAGGCTTGAAAGGAGAGTCTTTTCTCGTAGTTATACTTCAGTTATCAGAACAGGCTGGTTTCATAGGAAATATGTCGCTAATGCACTTACAAGTTTTTACCACACTTTGTAAGTATCCCACTTTTAAATTGAATTAGCCCTAGGCTAGGCCGAGGCTTAAAAATATATATTTAGATTTTGTGTATTAACTATTATTATTCCCTGCGCAAACATTAGGGTTTGGATAGGAAGGTTATTCTTTCAACATATATTTCGAAGATAGAGAGAAGTTTAATCGAGGTTTAGGGTCAATCAACACTTTGGATTTGCATGTAAATCGTCGGAACAATGTCCACGGTTAAAAAGAATTTAGGCCCAGAAATCCCTCTGCCCATTTGGAAACGGCGCCAATTTATCTGCAAATTTTGCATGAAATTAGGCCTACCGGTAGCTATGCGTCCTATTTAACACCAATTCAACACCAGTAAAACAGCATAAATATTTTCCTGCGCACTTAATTTTCCAGCAGTTTTTATTCGGCAATTTTTATTTTTGGGTTCTTTTTTCTTCATAATTTGTTTCCTTTTATTACAATACATCATCAGAACTTAATTTTTTTTTTACTTTGATATTTTCTTTCTTTTCTTAATTCTTATTTTCATCTTTTCAATATTTTTTTTTTTTTCGTCTCCGAGCTTATCTTTCTTTTCTAGTGTTTGGTGAAATATAGGAGATAAAACTACAAAAATTAAATTAAAAAAAAGATACATAGGCCTAACTCCCTTAAAAGTATTAAATAAATTACAGATAAAATCAATTTAATGTTCACTGATTTTTTATATAATCACATTCAACAGGAAACCTGTCACTTACAGAATGGATCTAAAAAGCTAAATTATAAAAGAGAATAGAAACTTTAAACAATCTTTAAAATTTTTACTACAAAAACATTTATTATTAAAGAAAATGTCATATTATGGCAACCAACAGCTTTAACATAAAAAGAGACTTGAGACATTGAATCACAATCAAAACGGAAATTCATACAATTGTACATAAACTGAAAAGTAAAGATAGGAGAATAACCCATAACTTACAGCATCATTGTGCTGAATTACTTTGAAGATCAAACAACGAACGACGAGAATCAAGGGAAGAGAAATAGTCTAGGGTGACAACAACAAGTAGCGTGAACAAAATGAACAAAATAATCCTGGAGTTTTTGGAGACGGGTACAATGACTAGAGAAACTATTAGACACAACACTATAGTACTCAAGATGGAGACGAACAAGAGAAACGTAAATTAATTACAGACATTAATTACCAAAATTCTTAAATTTATTAGCATTCCAATTTTTAATAGAAAGCTATCAACATCCTTGCCTGGTGGTTGGCAATGAACCTTATAAAATGGTCTAAAATAATTTGACCCACCCCAAATTCCAAATGTCTCTCTACTTTTTGTGGGGAACACAATTTTTTTTAATTTTTAAACTTTTTTTGCCTAATAATTGTCTTGATTAATATTTTGGCTTTAAACATTTTTTAATTCATACACTTTGAAACCTACCGTAAAGTATGTAAATCTTGTAGCCATTAGTGATCAAGTTGCTTACACAAAACTTCAGAATATAATTAAAGGTACTTCAGTAGAACACTTCCTTTCGGACACCCCTACTTAGGAGACTTTTTTTTGGCCACAGAACAAGAGAAAGTGTATATTTGTTTACACTATGGCCAATCCCTACGCAGGGGATATCCTTATATCAGGGGACACATTGTTTAGTCCTGGAGCTGTCCACTTAATATGTGTTACTGTATTTGTTTTTTAAGACCTTTTGACGATTTTGTTCAGTATGCTATAGAAATAAGAAACAATTGTCCTACTTGGCAAAAAATTATATGTTAGTCAAAAATATACATTAGAATTACAGGCAGAAGCTTTACAAATCAACAAATTTTATTTAAAAAAAACCCATAGCTTTTGTTCACACAGTAACCTAAAGAAGTTCACTTCATGAGCAGAATGGTTTTGCTTTAAGATTGTTAGTTAATAATGGCCCTGTCACACCTTGACGATTTAGCCAGCGTATGCCAACATATGAAAAAAATGGCGAATAAGTCAAATAAGTTATTGGTAAGTTTCGTATAAGTTAAGAGCATGCTGAAGAACGTTGAATATAAACGTTCAATATAATTTACCAATACGTTATTTATATGTCCAATACGTTATGAATTCACTATGAATGTGCCCAAAGTTGAAAAAAAGCAGCGTTTTAAAGAAATTTTGATACGTTTGGCATATGCTGACTAAATCGTCAAGGTGTGACACGGCCATAAGCTACTATGTACCTCATCTTCATTGCTGTTATGAAAGAGGAACTTGTAAGCTTCACAATAGCCTTTGTTAATTTCCTTGTTTATTGCAATGAACCAGTCCTGTTGCAATATAGCCAGTAGAATGCATATCAAATTGTTTTTAATTAGGGATTTAAGGTGGTAAATGCATTTAAAGTATCATAATATAAATGTTTAATTAGGCAAAATAACTGCAATTGATATTATTAGAGGAACGGTGTAGCAGCATATAATAAATACCCCCAGGTCAAATCCTGCTAGCATTCTTGGAGCCGGGTCTAGGAATCGATCACCCGGCTCCTACAGTAGAATAACTCTTGCATGAGAGTTAAAGCCAAGGTAGTAGACATGAAGTACTGTACAGTATGACCAACACAGGTCCCCAGGGGCCCAGCCAAAATTTCTCATTCCAAATTCCCAATTCAGAATTTTTAATGACAAAAATGAAATATTTAAAACCCCAAAAAACATCCATGTCAACCATAACTGTACTGTAGAAACTTCCAGCATACTGTAAACGCTATTTTAATTTAAGGAGTATGTAGGCTTATACCCAATTCACATGTATTGTACACCAAATGTTTTAAAAAGTGGTGACACAAATGATCTCACGAGTTTAGGTCAATCGTTTTCACATGTACATTTACAAACCATGTACTGTAATATATTGGAAGAAATATCGCGAACCATTAAATCAAAGGATAGATGGGCATGCAGTATGTACATTATAAAATTGTAAAGAGGGATCTAGCACAAACAGCGCTAATCCCTATGTGCCTTTAGGTGAAGATGAGTTAGGCCTAGGAGGCTAGCGTATGCCCGATTGCTTGGCCAACTTGGCCGGCAGAAAATCCTACCCTAGGCTAGGCGTAGGACTAGCTAGCCTGATTCCTGGATCTTACCGGTGTTGCTGTAACATGCAACAAGCAGTCCAGATAATACATTTTTCCGCCGTTGTCTTTTTTTTAACAAGCTTATAAAACTTGATTGCGGTTCATTTAGAATTAGAGTGCGCTTTTTTCGCCTCATTTATCACATCGATGGGAGCTTCCTTTCACCCAAAAAACCATTGAGCATGTACTGTAACAAATTGTAATCTTTACAGGCCACTTCAAGGCCGGTGAAGATTACAAGTTGTTACAAGATATTAGGGCAATTCCATGCAAAATGGACAAAGCACCTAAATTTTCATATTCATTCTATATTTACAGTTTTGGTGTCTAATTAAAGCTTAAAACATATGCTTTCAAGATGTAAACTCAGATTTTAAAATTTCAAATCAGAAGTATTGTTAAATATTAATTAAAATATGTCAATAAATTATTTTTTTATTTTGATAAAATTACACAAAAAACCTTACAAAAATAGACTAAGATAAAACTTGAAATTATAATAAAATCTAGTTTAATATGTTAAAATGGGTTACTATGAACATATTTTCATTCAAATTTACTTTTGCCTTATTTTTTATTAATCAAAATGTGGAAATATTAAACCCAATGAATATGTCATTTAGTTACCGAAAAACAACAATAAGTTAATTTTTTACAAAAAATATAAATGATTAAACAATGCAACTTTATATACAAAGCTAGTTTTAGTAGGGCTATTTAGTGGCATTAATTTTATTCCCTAATTCATTTTTGTTAATAAGTTATCAGCATATTAAATATGTCATTTAGTTTCCGAACCGGTAACTAAATGACGGTAACACAATGACAAGTCAAAATTTGTATTAAAACAGTTCAGTTTAGTGGCAATGAAGTATGTTATTGAATAAATTGTCAAGTTTATATACTCACAAGGATGTTATTTGAGGCTTATATAATAAAGTATTTTAAAAATTTCCACTGAATAGCTTAATTATTATGCAAATGATCAGTTTCTTATTTGGAATTTTCTCACAGACAAGGGCCTGTTACTGTTTAGGTCTGGTTTTGATGTTGTTTATTTGAAATAAATAGACTGCAATTTTGTGACAACATTTTAATTCATTACTGATCATTTGTGATTAGATACTTTCCTGCCAAAGGTCTTTATCCTTGTTCGCACTGGCTAACCAGCATCTCGGCTAGCTTTATTGCTGAGCGAAGTGTGCCCAGATGCATGAAGATTGACCATGCTATTTTTACCGAGCTAGATAATTCAGTATGAATAGTATGACTTTTAGTACAATATCTCTGAGCACATGCCAATACCAAACACATTGCAAAACTATTGAATTTTCCTGTTAGTCTTGGTCAAATTTAATCCAATGCGAATATGGCTAAAGGTGTATTTATGTCAATTGAGGATGTGTTAAAACCGGGGTTAAAACATAGGTATTCAAAGAACATGAATTTCTAAATATTATTTAGTAAGACATTGAAAGTTGTTATAATGTCATTAGGAATACTCTTCAACATACTGTATATCAAAAATTTTTTCTTGTGATATTGGGGGAGGGGTAGGTGTGAGGGGCGGGCCATTAAAAAAAGGCTCATTTGGATGGTTGTATTTCAGCCAAATATGTTCTGATGAGAGAAATGATGATGGGCAATATTTCCTCAAATACGAAGATTCAACAATGGTCCAGACAAGTTTTCATCCCATTTTCAGACATTTGCTATTTCTAATTATTACATGGTACAACTTTTCTGATTGTAGATTTGGAATCAGCATTGAAAATATGTCCTGACATGGTCCTATAATACAACCTTTCAGGGTTATAGGGGTTGTACTTTCTGACGATATTAGCATATGTAAATCAATTTTCAATTTTGTGGCGCATTATTTTGGGCCACGCCCGCCGCTTTACTTTAAACTGCCGCTACAGAAAAACAAACAAGTATTAAATTCTGAAATTTTTAAGTTTTTCGTTTTTCATTTCTCATGAATATAAATATGTCAGAGTGCAAAAAGTGAAGAAAAAAAATGATGTCCCACGGTGTAATGCATTTGTTGAATTTACGTCATTTAGTTACCGCTCATATTTTTATAATTTTTTTTAATAACGGAAAATGATTTTCACAAAAAAACTCATTCTGTATATGTAGGAAGCTATTTGTTATGAAAAAATGTATTTGTTTTAGATTATTGGCAAAATTACCTTGTGGTACATGTGCTTGAAAATACAAATCTGTGTCAGAATGTCATTTAGTTACCGTGGAATTGCCCATTACAAGATTTCACAAGGGACTTTACCAAGATTGTGGCATTCACATGCAGCTATCCTTGCTAAAATTGTACATGTGAATTGGGTATTAGTTTTTAATTGTTATATGTACATAGGTAGTATATCTTAGCATTCTGCCAGCAAATATGCATACTCTAGGTGTGTGTTCGGGCAAGAACGGGAAAAAGTTACATACAGGTTCTTACTGGTATTGTATCCGCAAGTGGTCTACCAGTTCGTGCAGAACTCGGCTTTCAAAAAAACCAATAACCTCGGACGTAAAACCTAAGGTATTACGCAAATGATGAGTTTCTATCAAGCTGTCCAGGACCCTTGCATCACCCACCTGGGTCACCCCACGCTTTAATTAAGAAACGGACTTATGGCGTTGGTCCACTGCATTAATGTAGTTTTCTCAAAATCAAGTAATGGTTACCGAAGAATCTACAACAATATAAAGCATAGCAAACTCCCAATAAATCGCAGATGTGCATTTTGGGCGTATAAGCCATGAACAAACTTTCATTTGGTTGACAATTGTAGTTTAATAACAGAAAATTACTACCACTGTTAAACAAATAAGCAGCGGTGCCATGATCATGTATGCATGTGGCGGACATATGTAACAAGGTAACAATCTGGATTCTATGCTAGCCCTCAGTTGAAATAATTTATTTTATCGAGCTTTTTCATTTTGTTTTTTTGAAATAAACTGTAAAAGAAGCAGGGACCACCAACATTTAAACAGACTTTACTTCTGGCACGTGTTAATGTTAAAACAACCAAATGGGATTAAGCGATAAAAAATACTCCCTGTTGCTAACGCATGCTGCTTATTGCTCCTCCATAATTTTATCGACCACCACTGTGATTGGGCCACAGACCAATTTTTTGGACTGTATGGTAATCATATTAATATTTGTCATTTTCATCATCACCATTCATTATATCGGTGCAACACCATTATTTTAACAAAAGCCTCTGCACGCTTTACATTTTAAATATACTGAGTCTAGTTCTTTAACATGCATGGGCCATAATGCGCACAGGACCAACGGCTTAAACATCTCATCCGAAAGACGATGCACTACCTTAACTTGGAGGTGGGGAGGTTCACATTTTTTTTACAATGAATGCTGAATTATAAAAAGCCATTTCATATATATACAGTAATATGTTTCGTGGAAGTGTCTTGGCGCAGTGGAAATGGTTTGGTTTCCCAACCTTGAGGTCTCAACTCAAACATTCGCTTGTGTTCTTAAGCAAGGCACTTTATCTACATTGCTTTGCAGTCTACCCAGCTGTATCATGGGTACTACCAGTAAGCTGCTTGGAGTATACCTGCGGTGGACTAACGTCCCACCCAGGGAGAGAATCACACTCTCATTCACTTCATGCTACAGAATCTCGGGATGACCTCCAGCCTCTATTGGCCCTAGTGGCTCGGCATGGATTTACTTTACTTTATTTACTTTGTTCCATATGTAAAACATCATGTACGTGCTGCATACTCCTTAACCTAGATTCAAAGGTTATTTTATGATAACTGTGATTGTAGACAAACAGTGCGACTGTATTTTGACATTTCTGCGAACTTGTTATCAATAGTTTTATTACTGTTCATATAGTATATTGTCAAGAATATATGAATTTCTTGTCATGTTATGTAAATTTTATTGTAGATTTTTTCACAGCCTAGTTTGCCTGCTCTTGTAGCATACTGTATTGCCCAGAATTTCCATCTATGCAAGGGCTACTAGAATTTTCTTTTGCTTTCATTTTAAATGTTCGTAAATGCTTAAATAACATTCTGTACTTTGATCTCATTGAATAATATGTCATTATTATCGCTTGTTTCGCTCTGCTGTTCAACAAAGAGTTTTGCTTCGGTAAGTTTGTTTAATATGTGGATCTGTTGCCTCTCAACAACAATACAAAAGGGCTACCGGTAACTACACACTGTCTCTCAGTATCTGTTTTTATACGTGTTATTAATTGTTGACCTTCATTGAGGAGCATGGTGTCGCTCCTTGACAGCATACAGTCTAATTCATATGGGTATCGCTGGATAGACATTAGTGGCAGATTCAGGAATTAAAAATAGAAGGGGGGGGGGCACAGGGAGTTGATTATGGCACCTCTATATGACTGGAAATTTAACTCTCAGACTTTTTTAGTAAATTTTCTTTTTTTCTCAATTTGTATAAATTAATTTTGACAAATTTAGGGGTGGGGAGAAGGGGGGGGGGGGCTTGCTAGGCCAGAAGCACACAGAGACTGATTTTGATACTTTCTTTCTTACAGGTTGATTAAAAATAATTAAAAGCAAAAATGTCTTCACGGAAAAAGGTTTTATTGAAAGTAATCATCCTCGGTGATAGTGGGTAAGTGCAATTATTTTAATGATAACGATTTGATTTTGAAATACACATTACCAAAATTTAATTTTAAATTATACATTTTCATGATTGCGTTTTAGGAAAAAATGTTCAAAAGATTTTGACATGAATTCAATATTATTTGTTACATTAACAATTTATAAAGAAAGATGTTGCTGCTTTTTAACACTGTCACCGCCAGTTGCGTTTGAAAAATAAGATCAGCCACTGCCAGCCTTTATTCAAATCACAATATCAGGTCACAGAGAATAGGTCACATTGAAATAGTGAAGCATATGTGCTCCTGAATACTGATTTTCTAGAAATCCAGACATACGCCCTCTATCAGGTAAAGAAAGAAAATGAAAAAAAATTGAGATCTCCGTTTTTGGCGGTCAACAGTTGGGATTTAAAAGACGGACATCTCTGTCTTTGGCAGTCAAAAGTTTTAAACATTGTTAGTTTTTATATTTATTTCGTCTCAAACATTTTGTCATTTGTAATTTTATTTGACAAAAAAATATATGACATGCCTAAATATGGTTATGAAGACATCACATCATGACCATATATAGGCACATCATGACTATATATAAGCACATCATGACTGTAATGGCATTGAACAGTTATTTTTGTCAAAGAATATTCGATAGTCTTGACGGATTTAGAAAGAAATTATGTAATTGCGATGATACTTTCTTACTTTATGACTCTGTCACCATTGGAAAAATTAAATTACAGGAAAGTGTACGACTCGTAAATTGTTGTAGCTATTGCATGTGTAAATCAGTTTTTTTCCAACTTGAATCCATAACTGCTGTTCCTCAAAATTTTATGCATCCTCAGTAGAGATATTTTCGTGCTAAGTCAACGCTGTGATGGCTTGATACATAATCTTTTCTTTTTCTCAGATTGTTGAATTAACATTGTGTTTTTAAGTTACAATAATTTTTTTTTTATTATTATAATTATTATCTCTTATTTTATTGTTTTAAGCTGCCTTTTTCTTCCCTCAGTGTTGGTAAAACCTCGCTCATGAACCAGTATGTTAACAAAAAATTCAGCAATCAATACAAAGCGACTATTGGAGCGGACTTCCTGACAAAAGAGGTTATGGTTGACGATAGACTAGTTACCATGCAGGTAAGAATCATGAGTTTGGAACTTGTAATACAAATCTGTTCCTTATATGGAAAAGTAGCAAAATAAAAATGATGGTCCTTTGTTGAGTACTAACAAGGATTTTTAGATTAGGTCCCTGGGGGGTAGCGGCACTGGCATTTTAGCAGACAGAGAGAAAATTCCCTACTCTTTTTGAGTTTAATGAATTCTTTTGCAGGTGCCTGTGCTAATTATATTCATAGGACCAACGACTTTTCGTCCCATGGGGAGGTAGATGTAAATTAGAGCAATATATTTTACCCAAGGGCACAAGTAAGAACTGCAGTGGCAGCTCTCAAAAATCAGTCTCTCTTTATTTTTGATAATATGAGCTAAAAAAAAATGAATTTAAATTCCATTAAATTTCATTAAGGTTGGCATATTAATTATAAATCGGACCTGAGATCCTACAAGCTCTGCTCCCTAATCCTGCCGAGAATTCTAGTACAGTACACTTTCCCAATACCGACTCCCCTCCGCACCGGCTTTTGGTTTTCTGGAAAGTTGGTTTGTGGAACATTTCTATTGAACCCTTTCCGAACAAGGCTGTTGTAGGCCAGTTAGGGCCTAGACGCTGAAAAAGGCTGTGAGTTCGTTATGACACTAGCCTTTGAAAAGTCAACATTTTTATATTGTTTTTACGTGCATTTTCGGCCTGACATATTTTTCTAAACACAACACAATCTTCGTGGTCACGATGTGACCTGCTGGTCAGTTGTTGAAAAACATTAGGTCACGCCTCCTGAACTCTGCCCGCTAATTGGTTAATTTCTTTTGCGTGGTCATGGAACGGCAAATATGTACTTGGCTGTGATGATGTCAGATCGCCCAAAGGTTCTTAGTGCGTTACAGCTTGCTGAAAGGAACAAGCTCAGTGTAAACCGATAAATTTATGATTAAACTGATTTATTAAAAACAAATAAGAAACCCTCATGGTTTTGTTTTAGAGTTAAATCTAAATAAATCTAACAATATAAATTTCATTCTCTACAAATTTCCCCCGTAATAGCAACTTGTTTTTAAGGAACGAGTGAATCTATACATTTGTAATTACACTGATGATTCTAACGACATCCAAATCTGAATTAAACGTTTACTGAAAAAGAGTCAGCCATCGTGGAAACTTGCTTTGAGTTCTGTCTTCATTTCATGTTGATTCCAAATTGTTTTTTAAGGATTAGGCCTAAGGCGGTAGTGCACTTTATTAAAACAATGAAAGGCCTAACTTTCACTTTATGTAACATTAGTGTTTACTGGCCTGTTGTTTTAATCAATAGATAATCTATGTGGCAATGATAAGGGATTGAGCAAGCTGTATGAACGGCTCATTCACAGGGTGTTGTGCTAGGCCTAGTTGTTAATTCCTAGACAGCAATGATTATTGCATTATTTCGTCCGGAAATTGCTGTTTAACTGTTTGTTCGGTTTGTAGAAGTTGATTTTTGTGTTCCTCTCAGCAAAATCGGTCTATTAAAGGGCAAATATCATCATTATTATAATACAACGAATAGAAATTACTGTATTAAATCATAATAAGATTAAGTAGTTATATTAAACTTGAAGGTAAGCATACAGTATATCCAAGTCATAACAAACCAAAATTTTTTTTATGCAACAGATATGGGACACAGCAGGACAGGAGAGGTTCCAGAGTCTAGGGGTTGCTTTCTACCGTGGTGCAGACTGTTGCGTTCTAGTGTTTGATGTAACCTCTCCAAACTCTTTCAAATCGCTCGACAGCTGGCGTGATGAGTTCCTTATTCAAGCAAGTCCAAGGGATCCTGAAAATTTTCCATTTGTTGTGCTAGGAAACAAAATTGATTTGGAAAACAGAATGGTATGTATTTAGCGCAATATTTAATTTAATTATTTAAAATAAATTGTTTTCACCTTGATTCAAGCAGCAAGTTGTATTATTGTACATTCTAAATTTCTAAATATGTGCACAAAATAATTAATGAAATTTTGGTTCACTACCAGAGGTGTCAGTCGTGGGGAATAAGTTGTGACTTTGACCATGAAAATTGTGTATGGGTAGATAGGGTAGATAGATTAGATAGATTTTAAAATTTCTATAGCGCCAGTTAAAAGGGAAGTTGTCACTAGCGCTTTACAATATATTGTACAATAAAGAGCAAAAATACTAATAATTATAATAATAATAATAAAATAATAATAATAATAGTAATAATAGTATTAATTATAATAATAATAAATATAAATAATAGTAATAACAACAATAATATTAGTAACAATAACAATAACAAAATAGCATAAAAATATTAAAGATAATGATAATAATGAGATAATAACAAACAAGAAAAAGAAAATAATAAAATAATAATTAAGAACAAGAAATGATAACAAATCAAATAACAATCAAATAATAATTAATTAAAGAATTTGAATGCAAACTGAAGGCAAGTGACATAAAGGCAGCCGACCGTCGGGTACATAACGACTTTCTAGCTTGTCGTTTTCCACTAAAAGCACAAGGCCTGCGATACGAGGGCCGTGGTAGAACGTTAATAATAGTTTAATCCTGTAACATGTAAAATACATTTAAATAATGTGTGTAAAATTTAAGATTGCACTGCATGTGTCGCTTTGTTATACGGTATAGGTAGAGTGACGGCAGCAAGGCTAGGCCTAGCCTAGTGCCTGGGCTAGATCGTGTACATTCTTGATCATCACAATGAAAACTTTCGGTGACAGATGATTGGACCCAACTGGCGTATACGATTGGGACCAAGACATTTTTGGATATATTGTAGTCTAGTAGGCCACTGCCAGCTCCCTCACCCACGATATTGTTCCAAACTACTGTAAAATGAAAATACCGTACACTTAGAAATGCCTACTTAGAAATGCCTAAGAAATGTACCTTGTTGATGTGCTAAACATATTGCTGTAATTTGCCTATCATAAAGCATTACCAATGTGGTCTAAAATCACGATCTTGGGCCATAAAACTCACTCCCCTGAATTGTTCAAGTTAAACCACCACATAAATTTGACCCAACCTTATATTTTCTTTCTGATAAAGTCATGTATCATGCATAGGAACGTTGACACCCGCAAGGCTCTGGTTCGGAAATGCCTGTGGGTAGATGCCAAATGCTTTAGTCTTGTGTGGTGCTGTGACTAACTGTGTGTCCATAGGGGCCACTCCAAATTGTTATTAAGTTACTCATCTATACTTTTACTTTTTGATTGATAATGAAATTAATTTGTGTTTTTCTTTTAGGTATCAACAAAAAGGGCACAAAATTGGTGTGACAGCAAAAACAACATTCCGTACTTTGAGACCAGTGCCAAGGACAACATCCACGTTGACCAAGCTTTCCAAACCATCGCAAAGAATGCCCTCGCGCAAGAACCGGAACAAGATCTATATAATGAATTTCCGACCGCGGTAAAAATAGACCCATCCTACACTCCAAAACAGGATAGCTGTGGATGTTAAGGCACGCTTACGATATCTCATCTGATCTCTTTTAACTGTACTTGGAAATCACACACAAGTACCCTGTGATATCGCCTACGAAACAAACAGCTCAGTTAAATTATATTGTCTCTATTCACATGCGCCACTCCTTGCTACAAGGTAGAGGGTGGCGGGCTCTTTAAGAAGTTTTTTTAATCATAGGTCCCAATCCAGTGTTTGATGTCTCGATGCGACATCTATACCATCTGTGAACAGTTCATCAGTACTTATTAAGAACTCTTAGGCATGGTGGAGGCATCTGATGATGAACTGTCACAGAATCCTGAAGTATAGGTTAGTCACATAATGGTACATCACTATGACAAGACACTACATTCCTTTGCTTGGTGAAAAGAAGGAAGATCTACAAATATTTTGGAAAAAAAACAAATTTTTAATAGATTATTCTTAATTATTTCAGTTTTATAATCTTGTTATTTTTTATGTTCAAGACGATTTATTATGAAATTAGGTTTATATACACGTACAGAATATAAATTGTTGTGCTCCAAAATTTAAATATTTTATAAACTATCATAATAATACATATTGGAATGATCCAACCTTGTATTCTAGTATTACTGTGGTGGAAGATAGTAGCAAGACTTTGAATGTTTTAAGGAATTCAATGGAATTCTGTATAGCATGGATATATATATATATATATATATATGTATATATATATGTGTGTATATATATATGTGTATATATATGTATATATATACTTATATATATATATTATATATATGTATGTATGTATATATATATATATGTATGTATGTATATGCATGTATATATATATGTGTATGTATATATATATATATATATATATATATATATATATATGTGTGTGTGTTTTTATGAACTATTTTTATTAAGCTACTGCTGAAAAGGCTAAAAACTTGTGATCATAATAATGCATGCTTTTGCAATCATCATTTATCAATTTATGCAGAATAGTATTACTATTATTAAATCATTTTTTAGATTTCTTCCGGACCTCGGAATCATTGTTGATTGAAAATATTTTTGTTTAAAACATAACCTGAATATAAAATGGCCATCACAAACTCACCTGATTATCAGGTACAGGTGTAAGTTCACCTGGATATTGAGTAAATGTGTAAACTCTGTTGTTGTGTGTGTATCAATCATGAAATGCATACACAGACAGCAATAATGATTTATAGTTGAAATACAGTAGATGTATATTATGGAATTGGTAGTTGTAGAAACAACACTTTAAGAGTAATAACAGCATTATGATGTTCTTTATTTCTACTGGCTTTTACCATCTACCTTGGCTTCTTCAGATAATATGCTTTGCAATGTTGTATGTTCATCATTATTAGTCTTAAATACGAGTTATGCTGAAGTATATCTGTACATGTTAAAAGGACGATCAGTTAAAAGTGTTAAGGTATTGTGTATTAAGAGCAGTATCATTTGTATATCATATAGTTCTGAAATATTTTCCATGTTGTCTGTCCTCCAAAAAAATACATCCACTCACCCCCCACCACTCCCCTACCCCCAAACACTGGTTTTTTTTATGCATCATGTTCTACCAGTGAAAATGCAAAAGTGGATGAATTACCAAGGCAATTTGTGCTACCACTACAGAGACATTGTCCAGTACAGTATATTGATTGATTGATTATTAATTATTGTTTGATTGATAGATAAAATGCCTTCCATGACAAAATTGAAGGCTATTGTATGTGTTTTCAATTATAGACCATATAAACATAATAAAGCAGAGCAAATTGTATATTTTACTTTACATATATGGGGTCTGCATGAATAAACACAATTTAAAAACATGATGGAGAACTGTAATTGTGTTATTTTTTTTTTAATGGAGAGCCATATGAGATAATGAAAGTTCATTCTCTAAAAGTGGTTATATTTCAAGTTTATTATTATCAAACTTATATAATGATTAATTAAATTGATGAATATTTTGATGGATCTAGCAAAGATCTCAGTAGAACACATACTAACAGCAAGCTGTATATATATGGCATATTGAAAATAGACAAAAAAAAAATACATGGGAAAAATATTAACTTGTAAATTTGTAGAGTATTATTATCTTTTCATAATACTTGTTTATGTTCAAGAAAGGTCTTTTACGATTACATAAAGAATGTTAAACAAGGCAGGGCATTGCAGTCAAGTTGAAATCCTGACATGATAACACAGAAATGCAATGTAATATTACATTATTTGTAGTATGAATTTGGCATTCTCTAGACTTATATAAAATATATAAAAAGAATACATACTTGTTGATTTTGGTGAATCGGACATCTTTTGATAACCACATCTCGGCAGAAAATAAAACAGCATCTCCATAAAATAGTAGTTGAAATAATTGTTAACCAAGTTGGGCTAACAAAGCAAGGCGTGTCTATATGTTTATCACAAAAAGTTATTACCATCAAATATTGGTCATTGTTGTAATCTCAGAAGAAATATTCAGAATAACCAGTATTTTGCCCTTTTGTAATAGATTTTGTCGATATAGTTCTACTAGATATTTTATGTTTTGTATGTTAATCAAAACTTGTTTTATTTTGGTATCATTGAAATTAGAAATTATTAAATGTGTCAATCATAATTAATATCGCTGTTGTTGTGTAAACTTGTAATGTCCTTATCTGAACATTAAATCCCATGTAACAACTAGTGAAATATTGTCATTAATTATTGTGTTATGCACATGGAAGAAAGGGGAAAGATCTTGGTAAACCTCACACTCACCCATCCTGGGTGAAGTCCTGTCTAGATTATCCAATTTTCTTTTTCAAAAAACTGTTGTACATACAACAGTTTTTTGAAAAAAAAAACTGTTGTATGTACATTATATAGTTATAATGTGCTTATATTATGGTGTGATGATTTTGTCAAATAAAGTGGATGGTCAGACTGAACTTTACATTTGTCTTGTATGAAAGGTGATTCACACAAGACACGTGTTACATAGGATGGGTGCCATCTTGTAAGTGTGCACTGCTACATCATGTCCTTGTGAAAGTGTATCCATGTATAATTAGCATGCGTACCATTTATTATCCATGTAAGAAAAACCAGAGGCCTGTAAAACCCAAGATATTGAACATGGATCTGAGCACTTCGCAGAGCATTGCTATCTTGGCATACACATCTTCACTGGCTGTCTATTGTTTTTACCGAATTCTACCTAGATTTTAATTCACTTAAGTGTGTGTGTGTGTGTTAGTGTGTGTAATTATCTTGGGAATTCCTTGTAACATTAAAGGTAAAATTGTTACTCTGGCTCTTGTGATCAAGCTTATTGTCAGCTGTAATTATAACATTAAAGCCTATAAAGTTGGCCTAAATTCAATCTTTTATTTAAGACCTCTGAATATATCAGTTTATTGGCCACTCCCCCGTCATGTTTGTGTGGGGACGGGGACCACTGCTGAGGTAAGTTGATTCAAACCATCTGAATATTAATTTTGGTAGCCAATAACAGAACAAAACCAGACTTAGCAAGTTACTTTCCTTGTGGATGCGAATAATAAATTACACCAATTATACAAAAGGCAGTATAGTATATTAATAGGAGGAAGATACTTTCCCTAGTGGAAAATTATGCAAAGTTTTGTTGATGATGAAAGCGCCCTCTTTATTTATGTGTATTACAAGATTACAAGGTACGAGCTGACCCGCGATCATAAACACGACACACCAGTACCGCCTCTCTGTACTGTGTGTACACGCGTCACGTCAGCAGCTGAGAGCGGCCAGAGAGCTAGAGAGAAACACACGTACCGGTTCATCGCGATAAAAGTATAGTAAAATTATAGAGACGTCGGCAGAAGAGCCGTCAAAATGAACGCTCTTGTAGGAATTGCGTTCGTTTTTATAGGATGTTGTTCTAACGTTATATTTTTAGAGCTCCTAGTAACGTAAGTATGGGAATTATTTACTTACAGTCTGTAAAATACAAAATAGGCATTGGCAAATATGAACTTACCGGGTACTCATTGTTGGTTCCGAGGAGATTAGACTACAGACAGGGAAGTAGGGGCCGGCTAGTGTATGCATGGAGGTATAAAATTAGATTTTATACCTCCATGGTGTAGCTTAGCCTACATAACGCATAAAGTATGGAGACGTAGGCCTAGTTTATAAGTAGACGGATTTCTAGAGCCTTTAGTTAGGGTCTGAAATCAGGGGCCCCTCTTTAGACTTAATAATAATATGCCAGCAATTACAGTCAAGATATTGCTCTCTGTATAAGTGTTAAGGCCTAATAAAATTACAGTATTATTGTTAGTTTTTCGGTGAGGATAGCCTACTGGCCTAGGCCTAGCCCTAGCTGTGGCTATTTTAAGCAATTAGAATAGTTGCGTATCATACAGTACTGTATGTGGAAATTATTATACGAAGGTTAGATTAATGCAAAACAAAAAATGTGTGTGGATGAATGAAAGGAGTAAAAATTGAAACTTTTTTTTCTTTACAGTACATATCCAGGATGTGGAAATTTAGTTACATTTGCTCAATTTCTGATAATTAGTATAGAAGGGTTCATCTTTACCACCAAATTTGGAACTGTAAAACCAGAAATCCCTGTAATGTAAGTAGAGTTGCACATTATGTTAAAATTGTTAAGCTCTGCCCACACTGTCAAATTTTATGTGACAAATAAATATGATATGCCCATACTTGGGTGTAGGTCCATGGTGTGACATTGTCAAGCCCATATGATATAATGGGCACATCACACAAATTTGTCACATAAGGTTTGGTAGTGTGGACTGAGCTTCAGGTGATGATTATGACATTATAATGTTAACTTTGTTATCATTATGTCATCATCATCATCATTACATTATAATGATGATGACATAATAATGATTATTATAATGATGATGGCATTTAATGATGATGAAATTCATGTCATCATCATCATCATCATCATCATCATTACATTATAATGATGATGACATAATAATGATTATTATAATGATAATGGCATTTAATGATGATGAAATTCAGTGGTGATGTTTGCATTGATGACGACGACATTGAGAAAAGTGTTTGGTTGTTTGTGATGATGATAATGTATTGTAACTTGACGATGATGATGACATAGTATTGATTTTGATAACAGTGATTGTGGGTGATGATGATGGTGACATTTTGATGATGGTAATGGATGATATTGACAACGACGTACAATGACAATAACAACAGCATGGTAACGATGACATGGGCAACAGTTAAGCTTTATTCTTTATTCGTTTTTTATTGTCTAGACAAGACAGCACAGTACTATCCACAAAAATCAAAGGTATTGTTTACAGTACATGTTTTAAAACTTATGGTCATGGAAATCTTTTAGTCCAACAACTCTTGGCCAACAAGAAGCTTGCCAATTCCCATATAAGGGTTGTGAAATTGTGTGACAATTTATTTATTTTTTTTTTTCACAGAAATTACTGCTACATGGTGGTATTATTTTTCTTAGTGAGCGTTGTGAATAATTATGCAATAAATTTCAACATATCTATGCCTCTGCACATGATATTCCGAAGTGTAAGTACAGGTACATTCTAAACAGGTGAGGTACAGGTAAATCACCTGGCATACAAAAGCCAGTATAATCAGGGGTTGGGAGGGATGCAGGGCCCCCAAGTTTGAAGGAATCCCTTCCAGGAGATCTGGTTAAATGTGCCCATATATAGTCATGATGTGCCCATATATAGTCATGATGTATCATATATAGTCATGTTGTGCCCATATATAGTCATGCTTTCTTTCATATTTAATTTTATTTTGCTGCGCATAGTAATACCAATCGGCACTGACTTCCATGAGGCAACTGATAATGAAGTAAAAACTTAGAAATTAATTATGAATTTGTGGGAGATGAGTTTATTTCCAGGTGGTTCTTGCTTGCTTGAGGGAGTGTAAGCAAGCAAGTAACGAAAAATTTTGTTGTTAGATTTAAATATAAAAATCCTATAGTGAAAGAAGTAACTTTATTTAATAATTTGATTATATTATACTAATTGTTGTAATTATTGTTTTTATTGAATTGAATAATTGAGACATGTTTTGTTGAGATTATAAGGCGATAAATCCTAGCTTTCGAAATCTGTTAGGTTAGCAATGAAGTTGGTTAAAGCCATCAAGGTATTCTGTTTTCAACATTGTAAAGGTACCCTTAGAAAACCACATTAGATTATTAACCAGCAGAAGTCATCATCATCATAATTAAACAGTCTCATTGGTCTCACTGGCGTGGATTGGACTAATTAATCAAGAACACATGTTAATTACAATTGTATTATTAGGGCACTATAATCAATTGATTTTTCACAGACTATTGTTTAATTACTCATTACTTATTGTAAGAAGTCAAAACATATTTAAGATGGTGATATTTACAGGTTAGGCCCATTAAAAAGAATATATATTTTATCACCCTATATAGGTCTCTTATACACATCT